GCTATAAAATAGTATTCTATGCACTTACTCTGAATTCTTCCTTTCGCAAGTGCTTTTACCAAATTCAAGGATGTCTTGGCACTGGTTATTGCTTTGTCGATGGCAATTTCACCTAATCCACGGAGATCAGCTTTAACAGAACGAGGATCTGATCTTAAAACTTCATCACAGGAAGAAGGATTCGATGTCTTCGAACAAAGGTCTCCAATTAAATCAGCTTTCACATTGTCAAATGTAAGAAAGCTGCATAGGAATGCTAATGAAAGAGTAGAAAAGAAAAAGGAGCCACTAGCCATTTTTTCGATTCTCTTCTTTTCCTTGCGCTTTGTTTCTTTTCTTTTCGACAAAGTTTATGATGGAAAAGCAGTATTATATTATACAGATCACAAGACAATCTTGTCAACAATTCTAGACAATGTGGAAAATCAGAAGAGGGATTCAGAAAATTTTTGAGGAATTAATGCAATTTATAATTAATGGTTTCTGTATTATATACTGATTTCTGTAATATATCTTAAATTTTCTCCCCTCTACTCTGGATATATACAAAAAAAAAATTAAATCCCTTTAAGAAGGAATAAAATACGGTAAGATGGTATGAGAATCAGAAATGGGATTTAGAAAATTTATTGATGAATTAACGTAATCGTATACTGATTACGAGGATTGGATTTATTTTAATTTTGTTTTGATGCAAGGGCATCTTATACTATGCTAAGCAACGCTAAAATGATACCTAGTTAATTAGTAGATAAATTTATGTTAGGTCCAAAAAATAAAATTTAATGTGTTGAATTAATGTGAAATATGCTAAGCAATGATCCTTAGTACATTACCAATTCTTATCGAGAAAGCAAGTAGTAAAGGAGCAACCTAAAAATACAAATAATAGCAGGTAGAGTATTGATAAACAAGCATAGGAACATGTTCAGTGAGAAGGAGATGGAGTTTGAATACTTTTATTATGCATGACGTAATGACTTGTGAAGTAGTACTTTAATACCCATACTTATGACCTAATTTCATTTAGGTTTGGACCGTTATAAAAAAAATAGACACGATTAATATTTTGATCTGATGAGTTACATGAAAGCTCATTATGTGAAATGATAGTCCACACCTTTTGTTTTATTTTTCGTTTTGGATTTAAGTCTAAGCAGTTAAAATTTTATTTACTTTTAATCAAATAATGGAGATAATGTTTTAATTTTATCTCTTTTAATTAAATTAAAATTTTAAATGATTGAGATAAAATCTAATTCCGATTGAGATAATATATTGATTTTATCTATATCTTAATTAATGAGATAATGTTTCAATTTTATTTCTTTTAATTAAAATTAAAATTTTAAATTATTAAAATAATATTTTGATTTTATCTCAATTTTATTTAATTTTAGAAATTATGGAGATATTTTTTTGTTATTTAAAATCATTATCTTATCTCATTAACCGAAACATGGTTGAGATAATGATAAGATTTTATAACTTTTAAAATTCAAAGTTCAATTGAATTAGAACTCCCAAAGTATGGCGATCCCTATAAATAGGTATCATATGTTCAATTTTCAAGTACATTCATTTCTTTGTGAAATACTCTCAAACATGAATATACTATATTCATTAGTACGTGGGCCAAGGGTTCAAATCCTAAATATATTCCAGTATTTCTCTTATCACTCCCACAAGAATAAGTAAGTGTATAAGTATTTTATGGGATTATTTGCGGACATTAGTTTTTTGGAACATTGATTATGAGGTTTTTTATGTATATTCTAAGTTTGGACAAGAGTATAGTAGTGCTACGCCTGAAAATTTCATGCAACCTATTCGGTATAGATTTTCGTATCTCACTATTTATATATGTATAAAGTTCCTTAAATTCCATACAATACTGATTCATGTACTTATATGCTTATTAAGATTTTATCTCACACCCTCCTTATACCCCTTTCAAGAAATTAGGGGTTCGTGATAATCAAGGCATAAGAGGAACGACGAAGTGGCAAGTAAAAGAAGACCCACCATGCTCATGTTTATTTATTTAGAATTGAATAAATAGTTGTTTAGAAAAACTTCTATCATTTTTTATTTTTGTAAATCTTTTTTTTTATTGCGTCGAAATTCATTATTCTTTTAAAGTATCTAATAGAATTTCAAGTTTTGGAAAGTGTATTTCGATGTTCAAGATACGATCTTAGTGACACGTGAATCCTAGAACTCGGGTCATCACAGTTAGTATCAAAGCGCACGAGTTTTAATCGGTTTTGTAGACTTTGCAAATTATTATTTTAAAAAAAAAAAATTAGTTTTCCAGAAATTTAAAAATAAAAATAAAAAGAAGGTTTTTAAGAATCAATAGTTGCAAAAAAAAAAAAGTGATTTTAAAGAAATAAGTCATTTTTATTTATTTTTTGGAATAAGAATTAAATGGTTGTATGTAAATGCCTCAGCACGCCATTCTCCATGTCTGATTCCTCAAATCAAGTATATTTTAATCATATTTTTTTATTTATTCATATTTCTCATTTTAAATGTCATGTTATTTATGAAACCTGCTTATGTAAAGCATGAATTTCCTTTTATGTAGAATGTGCTGATAAAAATTTATCAATTGAGAAAATTTATACTTTCAGATAATTTCGTTTCTACATATTTTTTGAGTTTTTCTGAGTTTGTGATTGAAAGGCTTTGCTCAAAAAATTTAAATTGTTTAAGGCGAGCTTGTGATTTAAGCGATAGATTGTGACCCACCTCCTCACCCGAAAGACTTTTAGTTGCCGTTATATAAATAAAAAAAACGAAAACAATATTACAAACGACGGACTCACTCTAAATTTAGAAAAGTAAAATCTTACTTTGGGGAATATATACAGTTAGAAACTTATAATTTAGAAAATTTTTAGATTAGGAAAGTCTTTAATTTCCTTAAAAATGTTTGATTTAAAGATATGCCAAGGTAGAAGAACCAACAGTAGAAATGAACAACCCCAACAACCTCAACCTATTGTGATTGACCCACAGTTTGCCCAGAATTTTTGGCCACAGTTTGCCCAGCAATTTCTGTGACACTAAGTGTTAAGTGTAAGGCCCTACATTTCAGAGCGGTCGAAGCCCCTCGAAGGGTCATTTACGTTTTATACTTGTTGAGGTGCTTCTCTGGGTCCCCCTTTCCCTCATACTTGAGAATTTTGGGAGGAACAAAATTCTGAAGCATAGGAAAACTACAAAGCTCCCGTGAGAAAGGAAGGTTGTCATCGTTATCATCAAGCTCGTAAGACCAACACGGCTCATCGGAATCGTTTCCATCTGTTAACGGACAAGGTGATTGTTGGGAAGTTTCGCCTCGATTTCTCCAATCAACTAGATTTCAACTCTCCTGCCTATTCCTAGGCAGAGCGGCCTGGACTTCCTGGCTTTGTGCATGCTCTTGTGGGCGAGCTGTCTGATGGGTGGACTGAGCCCTATTTCTAGGCATTCACCCGATTTGATCAAACACACTGGCGGACATTTGAGACCGTTCTTCATAGTCAACGAAGAAGTTATCTTTCCTAACTTGGCCGTCTTCAGATGGGGAGGCTGTGTAGGAGGTGTCCACTCCCACTTCCCTTTCAACTGGAACTTCTCACTGTCGACCTGAGTGAGTTCTCCTGCTCGATTTTGCTTCAATTATTCGAACTGATTGTGGGGGATTTTGGTGGACCTGGAAGCTGCCCTGATTTTGTATTTGTATGAGGATTTCCTGCATGGCTGCATTTTGGGCTGCCATATTCCTCATGTTAGTGCCCATACGAGCCACTTCGACCGTTAGTCGCGCAACAGTCCTCCTACCCATGCGGTATCGAAGATGGGGCCTTTGGTGCGTAACATTATTCTGGATGGTCTCTTCTTCAAAGATCTCTTTTGTTCTCCTCGGGTTCACTTCTTCATCGCTTGAACTCATAAGCTCGGAGTTGCCAGTCTCCTTCCAAACGGTGAGAGCTCACAGCTCGTTCTTTTTCAAGAACAAATTCCTTTTTCAAGGAGGGAATATCAACCAAATATTCAGATAAGCTTTTTCTTTGTTGAGAATGCTTGTGGTTATAGTAATGTTCCCACATACGGCGTTAATCTATTGACCTCGAAAAATGATTCCGACATGTGGCCAACAGAACAAAACTTCATGTAAGCTCCTCCATGCGCGCAGTAGCACACCGTTAGTCATTCATGGCTTTTTTCCGATGGGGTGGAAGTGGCCTCGAGCACTTCGACAGTCAATTCAGTATTTCCGTAAACTAAATGGTAGTGTCTGACGATGAAGTGGTCACCTGTAAATCTAGTGAAATGCTTTTTTAAAATTAAAGACGAGAATGCAAAGGTTGGAATGGGAACCCCTTACTCTTACCAGTATGGGGGTAATTATACTAAGAAAGGGGGGAGGTGAACCGTTAGATGAAGAGACAAGTGGCTTCAGATCCCGGACGATCCATCTTTTCATCAATGTCAATTCGTAGGTTGGTGGACATTAAATGGTATCTGACATAAAAGCTGAGTTGACCATTTTGTAGCCTGCCACACATCCCATCAATCATTCAGGGATTTGACTTTGGAGAGATCTCCTAAAAGATCTTGGTAGAGATGTGGCGAGGCGGATTGCGAGGCATAACGAATATGGAGTGCGGGCCTTTGCATCCGCCATGAATGGCGGATGAGTTCAATTCTTCTACTAGGTGGGGCAATGGTGCTTCAGTTTGAAGTAATGGAATCAGTTCGTCCGACATGAATTCAGTTCGTTTACCACGTGGTAACATTAGAGCAGTTCGGCCAACAGGTGGCAAATGAGGTGGATGGGTGAAGTGGAGGGCCTGAGAAGGCTCGTAACAAGCATAATGAGTAACAATTCAAATAATAAATTTAAGTAACGAAACATTTTTTATTATCTCATTATGAAATTCCCAACATTCTCATATATCAATTTTTTTTTAAAACATAAAATAGACATTTAAGATTTATGATTTTCTCTACAAACGATTTGATACCGCCAAAATGATACTAATAAGTCCTTGTGTTGTTTGACTAGCATTTTTAAGGTTGGTAGGTTCCTTTGCTCCGTATTCATCATCGCAGGTAGCCAAATCATCCAATGCAGCCGAAGCTTCGACATTTAAACTCTCTTTATCATTCCCGCGTAACAAACCCTGGCACTCGTTAAGATTATCGATTGCATCACTGCAGACCTCCGCGCACGTACTAGGTAATTCTCCATTCCCAAGTTCTTTCGCCAACTTTAAGGTTGTCTTGGCACTGGCTATTGCTTTGTCGAGGGCGATTTGGCCTAATCCACGAACATCGGCTTTGGCAGAACGACGATCTGATCTTAAAGCCTTATTACAGAAAGAGGGATCCCTCACAGTTGAACAAAAATCGCCAATTAAATCAGCTTTCACATTATGGAACGTAAGACTGCTACATAGGAAGGCTAATGAAACAGTAGCCAAAAGAAAGGAGCCACTAGCCATTTCTAATATTTTTTCTTTTTTTCCTTCACTTCTTGAGAAAGTTTATGAAGAAATAGCAGTCTTATATAGATCAAGTGACGTCAGTTGTATATGGTAATAAATTAAATACGTGAAAGGGAGAAGAATATATGGTTTTTGAGTGAAGATTTTAGGTAAACAATTAATAAAAACCATTAATAGTTTTTGTCTTAACGATTTTCTATATATAGAGGCAGGAAGAATATATAATAAGGTTTTTATTTATGAAAATCAGAAGGAAATTAGATTTTTTTTTAATGAAGTATTTAAATTATATACTGGGATTCTTTCTTTATCCTTTCCTTACTAGATTATTTATTTATTTAATTTGGAAATAAAAATATATTATTCAGTGCTCACTTAAATTTTGCAATTTGAAGTTAGAGTTGATTCGAGAAAAGATCTTCCTTCCTTCCTTCCGCTTCTAGTTTTATGTTTTTTATTTTAATTTGGAAATATTATTTTCCGCTTGAAATATAAGGACATTTTATATTGCAATTTAGACCAAAAATGAAATGAATTTTTAAATATTTTTAATTTTCAAATGTGTTTTCTGTAAAAGATCTTGGAAAATAGTGAAGAAAATGAAGTTTATTATTTTTTTTTCCCAGTTCTTATTAGGGGCGTGCTTCCAACAACTTTTCTGAATTTGTTTTAAATTTAAGAAAAACTAAATTTATAATCAAAACATTATTATAACTACAACAAAGTAGGCACAGTTATGAAGGAACAATGAAAAATACAGCTTTGTCTGAAAAATACGTATTAATTATAAAAATTCTTGAAATCCTTGAAAACTAAAATAATGGGTTTGATGTTTCATTCCCAAGAATTACTACAATTGTTTCTTTTGCTCAAATTTTATCTCAAAATACCCTCTCAACTTCAAATTCAATATTCAATTCTTTAAAAACCATCATCAATTCAAGATACAAATATGAGTAATCTGCTATAACAATTTCATGACATCATCAACAATAAGTAAATGTAATGAATATTCGATTCTAATAATTACGAAAATATTTCTTCGAAAAAAATAGAGAATATTTACGGATTTGGTCTCATAAATGTGAATATATTTTGGATAATTATATTAAATTACAAGTTTTGTTAAATGCATCACAATTTAATTGTAATGAATGTCCCTAGATTTTCTCATTTTCGCACTTATGTCCCCAACTTCATTTTGTCATATTTTTATTTTGATCTTTATATTAATTAGCAAGTTGAATGTTGTAGGAATGATATCACAAGAAGTTGATATTCTATAGAGAAACGACAAAATACCTATATCGTGAAGACGTAATTAGAGATTTTATGAGAAGAATGAGAAATGTGTTTGGTTAAACAATGGATTAAAGCTTAAGAAAGATTTAGGATGTAAATTTTTCAATTGAAAAACATGATTTTTTTAGGAATGATTTTGCTAATTATCTTATTTGTTTGGATAAATCATTGCCCATCGGAGTGAAATATTAGGAAATGTTTACATAGATGAGGAAAAGTTTTTAGTTTTTCTCGAATTGGTGCATAATTGTCACATGATGTGTCCACAAGGGGACATAGTAGAGATATTAATAATCTTTAGTTAGGATTGTGATTCTCCCAATAGTTTTAGGTATCTAATAAATAACGTATTTTGTAATCTTTTGAGACATTGAATCAATTATGAGAGCATCAAAAGATATTAAGTGTACCATCGTATAAAATGTGAGAATAGTTCTATGGGATATAAATGATTAATTTTTTGGGTGATACGTTGGGATGATGTTGACATTGACGGTATATGTAATTGTTTGAATAATAGAGGTCCAGTAGATACATATTTTGCAAGACAATAATAAAGAAAATGAATTAAATAACTATATTAATTCGAGATATAGATTTCTACATGACAAGAATATTGACCACGATATGGTATAAATAATAGTAAAATCGATTGATAAATATATGAATAACTTTTAAGAATGAAATGATCTGAAAAAAACCCCCCACACGATGACGTGGAGCCCAGGTGCCGACAACATCGAATAAAAACCTTCAATTTCATTAAGATATATCATCTATTGATGTATGATCGATGTGCAACGAGAATGAATGATCTAGATATTAGAAGATATGCTTTGAGCCTGCATTTTAGAGTCTTCGCGTCTACGAGGTCAAGTTTTCGAAAAAGATAATTAACGGGTCTTGATAGACGCCTTCCTACGAAAACTCACATGAAGAAAACGTCCACGATGATTGTACTATGATAAAGTAGCGAGTGACATTCGTTACGTTCATGTATACTAGAAGATACACTACGAACTATTGAAAAGATTTGGGAGAAAATATCTCACCAAGATTTATAAACAATGTAGAGGGATAAAATATGAAAACGGTTAGAATTTAACTTAAGAAAAAATGTATCCAAGCGAATATGACAGATTGGAAAAAGGTTTAACCATCGACATCTCACGTCCTAAGTTGGTTCAAAATTTAAAAAAAAAAAAAAAATTGTTGCATACAGTTAAAAGAAATGACATTATTTGGGTCATAATCATAGACTTATCAAGTTATATAACTTCTTAACGATGGAGACTTTCTTTTGGATCAATTAGCTCAGATTTATGTTAAGGAAATCGTGAAATTTCATGGTATTTCAGTTTCAATGTGTCAAATTGATAATGCGAGGTTTTTATCGAACTTTTAAAAAGATTTTAAGATCTTGAGTCGGGGATAACCCGCTTAATCAGGTATTCGGGGCAGGGACAGGGCAGGAAATTTTGCCTCGGGGCGGGTTCGGGTAACGGGCGCCCCATCTCGTTAAAATTTTATTATTATTATTATTATTTTTTTTTAGAATTCAATACTTTACAAGCCTTAATTTACCAAATATATTTAAATAATTTTAAAAATATGTCAAACAAANTAAAATTATTTGTCTAAATCTAATAAATATGGGCAATAAAAATAAATTATCAAAAAAAAAAAAAAAAAAAATTAAACGGGTAGTAAACGGGGCAAGGACACTGCCCCGCCTTAAACGGGTAACAAGGTGGGGAATTTCTTAGCTGGGTGGGAGCGGGGAAGCCCCCCGCCTCGTTACCATCCCTAAATAGACTACTTAGATACGTGAAGATACGTTATAAACATGTGTGTTCGATCTTTGTAAAAATTAAGAGAACTGTCTACCTCTACTGAAGTTTGTACCTAAGAATAGTTATGGTAAAACTATTGGGATTACTCCTTATTGAAGTGCACATCGTCGATCTTTTAGAAAAAAATTATGACGTTAATTAGTTTTGCTGACCCCGAAAAGTAACCCAAACACGTGGCCAACAGGATACGACTTCCATGCATAGTAACACACCGTCAGTTACTCGTGGCCTTTTTCGTTGGCGGTGAAAGTGACCGCGAGCACTTCAACGGTCAAATTAGTGAGTTAGTAAATCAAATTTAATATGTCTGATAGTGATCATCGAAACCTAGTTATCAAGGTAAATGCGTGTATGTATAAATATAAGGCAAAGATCATATGCCCTTTTTCTCTTCCGAGATCCGCCCCTTTTAATAGTGTAGGTGTGAGTATTTATAATGAGAGGAAATAAGAGAAGAATCGTTGGATGTGGAGTACGTGGCTTTGAATCTAGGGTGGACTGGTCCTTCCTTAGGTATCAATCCATCAATCCATATGTAAGCAGTTTAATTAATGCCCACGATATAGTAATTTGCGACTAACATTTTGGAGTCTGCCATGTGTCCCATCAATCAGTCTCACTGATTTATTTTTGACCAGAAAAGGAAAATTTCATTCCAGAGTCATAAATATCCACGAAATTTTAAGGAAATTGAGAAATATAGCTTACCAAAAAGCTATACCTTCAAACTTAGAAGTAGCTCACGAATTTTTAAAACTCTATATTCATATAGTATTTATCGAATTTAAATCATATCCATTAGGTTGTAAATGGATTGATCATATTATGTAGAATCATACCTCGGAGTTGGTATATCTCCCACCTAATAACAAACCATTAGGTTGTAAATAGATTTTCAAAAGAAAATTAAAGACTCGTGTGAATCAATTGATAAATTCAAGGCAAGATTGGTAGTCAAAAGATTTAAACAAAGAAAAGGTTTTGACTTTTTCGATACATGCTCATATGCGACAAAGATAACGTCTATTAGAATATTAATTGCAATCGTAACATTATTTAATTTAAAAATCTATTAGATTGAAGTTAAATCAACTTTGCTAAATGGTAAGTTAGAAGAAGAAATATACATGTAACAATTTGAAGGGTTAACTGTTCTTGGACAAGAGAAAAAGAAGTGTAGACTTGTTAAGTTATTTTATGGATTAAAGCAAGTACCAAAATAGTGGCATGAGAAATTTGACAAAACTATGTTATCAAATGATTTTAAGATCAACGAGTGTGGTAAGAGTGTTTATATTAAAATCAAACCAAGCACATATGCAATTGTTTGTCTATATATTTATGACATGCTCATTACAGTTAGTAATCATGATATCATAATGATTATAAAGAAAATGTTGACAAAATATTTTGTCATGAAAGATATGGGTACTTGTTCTATCTCAATATCACTACATTGAGACTATACTTAAGAAGGTTCGTGTATATGATGAAAGTCCAACTAAAACTCTAGTAAATTTAAGTCTACATTTATCCAAATATAAATGTGAACCCTTATCTTAGCTAGAGTATACTAAAATCATAGACAGTATAATGTATACTACGTACTGTATGTGTTCGAATATTGCTTATTTGGTGAAAAAGTCTAGTAGATTTATAAGGAATCTAGGTGATGAACATTGGAAGAAATTGATTAGGGTTCTTAAATATCTACAGTTCACCTCAAATGTTGAATTATATTATACTAGTTATTTAGTTGTATTAGTATGATAAAGTGATGCAAATTGAATATTCGACCCAAATGATTTAAAGTCCACTAGTGGTTATATTTTTATCATTGGT